GATATAAGTAAGTTGTAGGATATTAATATAAGGTATGTTACTTTTGTTTATGATCTGAAACATTTTTTAATGATGCAAAGATGTGTTTGATTAAATAAAATTCATCTGTGGTCAGGAGGCTGGGTCAGCAACTAGCTGACAGGAAGTTATAGGGAGGAAGCAGGCAAAGAAAGTTTATAAAGAGGGCAAGAAAAAACAGGAGGACTTTTTGAGAAACTCTAGGAGGAGAGCTGCTTGTTATTCAGCCTCTAGGGGAAGCAGGATTCTACCTCAACCTTTGAATCTTGAGTTCCTTAGTGAAAAAAGAAATTTAAGTAAGTATCATTAGTAGCTTTGAAAGAGTTGGTGCCTGAGGGAACAGAATTCACTCAGGCTTCAGCTCTTGTGGCCTTGTCTTGTGGTGGAGCTGCAGCTGCTCTGAATAGGATGGCTGTAACATTAAAGGCTGAAGAGAAACAACATCCTACCAAAAGCAATCCCCAGATTCAAAGCAATCCCCATCAAAATTCCAACACACAATTCTTCACAGAAATTCAAAACACAATTTTCACAAATTACACAAATGGGAACAAGAAGTCAGCAGGTATAGCGATTTTAATATCTGACAAAATAAGACTTCAAAACTAAACCAATCAGAAGTGATAGGGAAGGGCACTACATTCTCAAAAGAAAACTACACCAAGAGAATATTGTAATTCTAAATATATATACACCAAATACAAGGGCATTCAAGTTCATAAAAGAAATACTACTACAGCTAAAATCACATATTAACATTGAGTAAACTTCAATATCCAATTCTCACCAATAGGTCATCCAGACATAAACTAAACAGAGATGATGGAGTTTAATAACATCATAAATTAAATATACTTAGCAGATTGTTACAAAACATTTCACCCCAATACCAACGAATATGCTTTCTTCTCAGCAGCCCATGGGACATTCTCCAAAACTGAACACACACTTAGATACAAAGCAAGTCTCAACAGAAAAAAGAAAACTGAAATAACACCCTATATCCTACTGGACTACTGCAGACTAAAAATGGATAGCAAGAACAGAAAGTATGGGGCTGGAGAGATGGCTCAGTGATTAAGAGCACTGGCTGTTCTTCCAGAGGTCCTGAGTTCAAGTCCAGGCAACCACATGGTAGCTCACAATGAGATCTGTGGCCCTCTTCTAGCCTGAAGCCATACGTGCAGGCAGAACACTATACATAATAAATAAATCTTTAAAAAAAAAAAAAAAAGTATACAAACTCATGGAAACTGCCCTACTCACTACTGAAAAATGGATCAAGGCAGAGATCAAAAACGAAATTTAAAATGTTCAAAAACTGAATAAAAATGAAAACACAACATACACAATACTATGTAGGGATGTAATCAAGACAGTCCTAAGAGACAAGCTTCATAACACGAACTGCCTTCCTTAAAAAAAAAAAAAAAAAAAAAAAAAAAAAGGAAAGATCTAACATTAGCAATCTAGTAGCAACTTAGAAAACTCTACAACAGAAAGAAGAAATAACACCCAAAGAATAGACAGCAAAGAATAGTCAAACTCAGAGCTGAAATCGTCCAATTAAAAACAAATAAACTGACTTTAAAACTCTGAACTCCACCAAATTGCAAAATCTACAAGAAATGGATAATTTTCTCCATATAGACAACCTACCAACATTAAATCAAGAACAGATATCCAATTTAAACAAATTTATAACCCCTAGTGAGATAGAAGCAGTCATTTAAATTCTATCAACCAAAAAAAAAAAGCCCAGATGGTTTCAGTGCAGAATTTTACCAAACTTTCAAAGAAGAATTAACCCCAATATTCCTCAAATTATTGCATAAAGGGAAACAGAAGAAATGTTGCCCAATTCTTTTATGATACCTAAATCACATAAAGAAAATTACAGATCAATTTCCCTTAAGAACATAGATGCAAAATTCTCAATAAAGTACTGGCAAACTAAATCTAAGAACATATATATTTAAAAGATCATTTACGATTATCAAGTAGGCTTCATCACAGACATGCAGAGATGACTAAATACATATAAATCAGTAAATGAAATCCACCACATAAACGGACTAAAAGGCCTCCGACAAAAATCCAACATTCCTTCATGGCAAAAGCCCTGGAAAGAGTGTGGATACAAATGACATAACACAATAAAGGCAATCAACTTAAATGAAGAGAAACTCAAAGTATTTGCACTAAAATCAGGAACAAGATAAGGCTGTCCGTTCTCTCCATGCCTCTGCAAGAAAGTACTTGGAAGTCTTAGCTAGAGCAATTAGTCAACTGAAGAGCATAAATAGGAAAAGAAAAAGTCAAAGCATCTTTATTGGACAATGATATGATTTGATATGCAAGTGATCCTAAAAACTACCAGTTTCAGCAAACTAGCAGAATACAAAATGAACACACAAAAAATCAGAAGCATTCCCATATACAAATAACAGACTAAGAAAGAAATCAGGAAAACAGTACCCTCACAACAACCTCAAAAAATAAATACATAAATATCCTTGCAATAACTCTAACTATGCATGTGGAAGCCTTTTATAATGAAAACATTTAAGACATTAGAGAAGTCAAAGAAGATATCATATGATGGCCAGATCTCCAACATTCATTGACCAGCAAAATTAATATAGTGAAAATGGCCACCCTCCCAAAAACAATCTACAGATTGAATGCAATCCCCATCAAAACCCCAACACAATTCTTCACAGAAATTGAAAACACAATTTTCACAACTGATCAACAGAATCAAACTGAAGACCCAGACATAAGTCCGCACACCTATGGACACCCAATTCTTGACAAAGAAGCAAGAAATTCACACTGAAGACATAGCATCTTCATCAAATGGTGCTGGTCAAACTAGATGGCTGTATAGTTAGTTACCTACACAAAAATCTACTCCAAATAGAACCAGGATATATAGTTATAGAGAGACAGTTGAGGGGGAATGTAAACAAAGAATTACATGTGGATCAATTAGTGGAATAAAGGAGGAAATGTTAAGGAAGGACACTAACATTAAGGGCCATTTGAAGAGTCATATAGAAACCTTTAGATGCTACTCAAAAGAAATTTACTTATCTATTTATTTATTGGTTAGTATGGAAATCTAAATGAAGTGTCCCAACTAAATATCCTCTGACACCAAATCAAACTACCAGTGCCAGGAACGGGTTACATTTAGTTGAGTCACTACTCCATGAGACTAGTGGCCTGCCTGCATAAAATGCTAGTGCAGTAGTAGCACAAACATTGTGGACATAACCACTATTGGATTGGATTAAAGACCCACTCCCTGAGATGGAACCCATGCCCGACACTGTTTGGGTGGCCAAGAACCTATTACTAGATAAGCCATGAGCCTATAGGAAAGCCAAACACTATTGTTCTGCTAAAGTAGCATAGCAAAATGATTCCTAACAACATTCTGCTATACACACAGATAAGTGTCTCACTCATATCGTGGTTTAATAAGAATTAGGAAAAACAGGCTGAATAGATGTTTATTCAGGGAGAAATAACTTACAACAGAGACAGATGAACACCAACAGGTTCTGGTCCCAGGGATGCCTCCAGATGCTCTCTGCCCGTCCTACAAGCAAGAGAGCACTACAGGCCCCTTCCCTAGACCTAGTTCCCTTAGGGTCACGACTGTCCCTGTCCCCACCCCCAATGGGCGTGGTCAGTGCCACACTCAGCCATTATTAGAGAGGCTTTCTTTCTCTTGCAGTAGGTGGGAACTAATACAGAGTCCTACAACTGGACAGTGTGCAAAGACTGAGAGACACTGGAACACTCAGTCCTAAATGGGACATCTGCATCGAACCCCTCTGCTCAGGGCTCAGAGACTGAGGAAGAGGAGGCAGAAAGACTGTAAGAACACAGGGGAGGAAGACACCGAGGAAACAAGGTCTTCTAGACTCAAAAGGTGTGGTGCACATGTCAACTCAGAGACCGTGGCAGCACAGAGTCTACAATTGTCCAAGTCAGATAAGGTCCCAGTGCTGAGAGGGCAGGGTGAACACATCTACAATCCCTAACATAGAAGCTATCTCCAACTGACAACCACTTGCAAAGGAAAAATGAGTTTTCTACGATGGAGTCACTGGGTACATAAACCACACTTAAGGGCAGGGCCCACAATCAGCAGTAGACAGCCAATTCAGAACTAACTTATGGTGTTTTTACGGATTTTTGTTTTTAAACTGGTCTTTTACTTGGGTATTATGGTTTCCAATTTTGTGTTATTGTAGGTTTTATTTCTGTATCTGTGTTTCTTGTGCTTTTTAGTTTTTGCTGTTATTTATTCTGGTTTGTTTCTTCTTTTTACTTGCCTTTTTGTTCCTTAAACTAAGAGGGAAAACATTCGGAATGTAAATAGAGACCTGTCTTTTGTCACTGTAAGCTTTCCAAAATGTGTTTAAAATGTGAACTACTTAGTGAAAGATTATTTTGGTACCCTTTATAAAGAGAAGAGATGTAAGCATTTATCTGCTTTCTCAAGTTTCTGGTATATTCTAGAAATTTTTGGAATAATCTTTAAAACTCTAAAATCAAAAATTAAAAAGTGAAAGAAGTCCTTCTATCTGAGATTTGAAACATTTGTCTTTTCAGTCATCAGTAGTTGTTCAAAGTGAACCAGAGGTATTACGTGGTATCCTGGTGACAGCTGCATCATGACAGCATAGTACAACATATTACGAATCTGTGATGATGGTATGTTACAAAACAAACAATCATATCGTCCCTGATGCACTGTCACCTTCCCTGGCTGTCCCTTCCGCGTGGGTCTGTAGTAGCAGGCACAGACCGTGGCACGAGCCCACGAGCCCGGGCACGGGGTCCGGCGGAGGGATCTGCGGAGGAAGAGAGGCGCTTCTGCGGCAGCACAAGAAGGGCGGCTGCAGGGTGATGTGCCAACCGATGTGAAGACGGACACTGTGTCCACGGTGGCTGGCCCGGGGAGGGAGCTGAGTGGGCCTCGGCCCCCTGTGCATCCTGCCAGGGCCAGGCCAGAGGCGCCCACCTCCTCTTCTGCAGCTGATCCACAACCAACGAGGCTGCCTCAGCCCCTGCCTCGTCCGCCAGGGCCTACCACGACAGCCTCCCAGCATGGCTCTTAAGAGAATCCACAAGGAACTGAACGACCTGGCGCAGGATCCCCCCAGCCCAGTGTTCAGCGGGCCCCGTCGGGGAAGACATGTTCCACTGGCAAGCTACAATCATGGGGCCCAATGACAGTCCCTACCAGGGCGGGGCCTTTTTCTTGACAATTGACTTCCCAACAGAGTATCCCTTCAAACCGCCCAAGGTTGAATTTACAACAAGAATTTATCATCCAAATGTTAACAGTAACGGCAGCATTTGTCTTGATATTCTTCGCTCACAGTGGTCTCCAGCACTAACCATCTCCAAAGTGCTTCTGTCCATCAGTTCTCTGCTGTGTGACCCCAATCCAGATGACCCCCTAGTGCCTGAGATCGCTCAGATCTACAAAACAGACAGGGACAAGTACAACAGAACAGCTCGGGAATGGACGCAGAAGTATGCCATGTGACCAAAGAGATTATTGGCTATCCTCTACAAATAAAGCTAGGGGAACTCTGAAAGTCCTTCTGACTCCCATCTGACTGCTGTGAGCCCACACCGCACCCGTTTCATCCCTTCCTGGCGCACCTTTGTTCACCTGATCCGGTACAGCTGCAAGTTGTCCGCACCAGAAATACTGTACTGTCCTAGCACAGGAGTGCTCTCGAGGCATAACCAAGATGTGAGATTAAAAGTTTTCCTAACTGACTTAAATGTAACCAGTGTGAAGGGGGTGGTGGGTGCCCCTACACTGCTTAGAAGGGAGAAAGCCCCACAAATCTGCTGGAGTTTGTGAGATTGCTTTTAAGTGGAAGCCATTTAAATTTTTAAAGTTATGAAAAGTTAGGGTGACCATGAAAGTGTCTGTACTCATTTTATTCCATAACACCTAGAACTTAGATGAGCATTAGAGCCAACCAGATTAAACCCAACCCACCTGTACTTTAAGGTCTAACTGGTTAAGAAAAATAGATTGATGCTATTAGTCCATAAAGTGTGACTGGCTTTGTTCCCAAATCCTTTATACCTCCCTGACTCTTCAACCGCCTTTCTCTCCACATTCTTTAGTTTATTTGTGATTTCTCAGCACATACTTCACTAATAGCTCTTATTTTTCTTATGTTAACTGTTTAACCCATTTGGATATAAGAGTAAAAACTCCATTTGATGAAAAATAACATGTATAAAAGACCCAATGATTCCTCTGGGGCTTGTACATTCAATAATGATTAATCTGTGTAATAAACCAACTGTTCCAGCCATTATTTTTGTGTGAACAGGTTTTATTGCTTGAAGAACCTTGTTTGGCTGAAATTAGTAGATTTTTCACTCAGCCTTATTCATTTAAATTTGTCACATTTTTCAAATATGAAAGGATTTCAGTTTATAGTTTAAAAGATACCTTTAAAAGCAATTTTAGCCAGGCATTGTAGCACACACCTTTAATCACAGCACTCTGAAGACAGAAACAAGTATATCTCTTTGAGTTCAAGGCCAGCCTGGTGGTCTACAGAGTGTATCCCAGGACACAGAGATATACCCTGTCTCCAAAAAAAGAGGGGGGGAGGTTATTAAATATGATAGAGAAATAAACTTAAAGGGCTATGAAATAATATACAACCTCCCAGGAATAAAACTTAAATAAGAAACTTTCTTTATGAAACTAAGCTGTATTATACCAAAACCTTGTGAAACTCTTTGGTACACATATAAAACAAAAAAACATTACTATTACTGAGTTAAAGAGTACCTTTAACCAAACTTAGAAAACACCATCATACAGCAAGTCATTTACATAATGCACTTTTTACAGGATGTTAATCCAATTTCAAATTGTGTGTGTATACAGCGTGTGTGTGTGTGTGTGTGTGTGTGTGTATTTTCCCTCATCCATACTCTAGTAAAACAATATTTGAAACATGTCAACTGTGTTTGTCTGAAACCAGTCTTCAGCCATGTAGATGTTCTCTAGACAACAGATTCTTTAAAATGAATCTTTACTCATGAAGCATAATTTGATGCACGTTCATTAAGTACCTGATTAGACAGCTTACATATTTATTGGATACTCTGAACAGCTGTAAATTAGTCCATAATTTAACCATATAATTAAATAGATCCAACATACTGTTTCATAGTTAAATAATTTGTTTTCTCTTAATGTGACCAATAAAAGGTTTGGGCAGGAAGCTTGTTAGCATTGATCTAACAGCCTTAGGACAGCCTCCAAAAGAAAAGCATTGCTTGGTTTGGGGTTTTTGTTTTTTGTTTTTGTTTGGTGTGTGAGAGTGTAGGGAGGACAGCTCCACATGCTTTAACTGCCTCTACAGACCTTCCAGTGGGACAGGAAGGACAACTAAAAGAAACAACAATAATCCTCACTTACTAACAGACATACAAATGCATGTATACATGCACAAGTATCTTTTTAACCAAAGTTTTTCAAGTAAGTTTAATTTTAAATAAAATTTATAAATAAAAAAGTATTTTGTACACCCCCACATTGTTTTAAACCAGTTATTTTTACATGCATAAGAGTCACAAATATATCAAGATTCCAGTTTTGCAAAACACACCTATAATTCCAGCACTTGGAAAGCTAACATGGGAGGATGACAAGATCAAGACCCAGCTTGAACTATGTAATTAGACTGTCTCAATGCCCTTCCACAAAGAAAGTGTGAAGAAAAAAATTATAGATCTAATGTGGTATATATTTGTAATGCTAAAACATCGGAGGCAGGAACAGAAAGATCACTAGACGTTCACAGCCAGCCTGGGCTGTATAGTAAGCTGCACAGTCAGGTCTATGTGTGAGACTGTTTCCAAAAAACAAAAACACACACAAAACAAAAAACCCCTAACTAAATCATATACTTTAAATATACAGAAAATACACACACACACACACACACACACACACACACACACCGTAAAGCCTACAGCAGTGTAGTATCCTGGGCCTGCAAACTCATTTAGCTCTCATTGTAATACAAAAGTTTACAGGATCTATTGTGGTAAATGTCATACACAAGCATACTATTGTTCTATATGCCTTTTTTGTTTAGATACACAAATACCACTGTCTTATAACTGACTACATTATTTATACAATATACAGGTTTAGAGCCAAGAAGCAACGGGTAAGTTGCTTCTAACTGGCAAGCACACTCTAATGCTCACATTTTAGAAAACCATTTAACAGTGCCTCTCCTAGATCTATGTCATTAAATAGACATGGCATTCAAGAAAAGCATTTACAAATGCCTTAATAAGTAGACTTATAAAAAAATATATAATTAAAATAAAGTATCTTTGAATGTGGTTACATAACTTGGGAAGACCCCAAAACAGATGACCATGTTAATTTCAACATAATTAAGAAATTACAATAATGGTAGAAGACAAACTTAATGCTTGAAAGTCAACAATTTCCAGACCAGAGTCTGGGAACTGGGAAAAATAGGATGCAACATCACTGATACAGTCTGTGGGCACTGAGAAGTTCCTCTAAAACTTACTCAGTTACTTTCAAACATCCTTGTGGGCAGTACCAACAGTTTGAAACACAGCCTAAAGTTCAGAGGGGAAAAAAGGTAAAGAATACAGAAATTTGGCAACTATGAACAGATGACATTAAACACTATGAATACCAGATGAGATTTGGCTAACTGTTTTCCCGTGGTTATCAGAGCAAAACACAGCAGCAACCAGTCAGCATACAAACTAGTAATCTGCAAATTGCTAAGATAGTTTGCAAAGAACTAAGGCAGAAAAATGCTGTGCTAGGAAAACAGATGGGAAACTAACTATTCTGGCACTTAAAAGCAGAGAGTCTTATCGCAAAGTGAACAGTGTTTCCAGCATAAGATTCCAAGGTCTCTAATAATATCACACTAAAACAGGATATGAAACATGTTTGGAGAAAGAAAATAATTTGTCAATTAAACGGTTAGCAAATCAGTAAGATCTGGTTCTTTAAGTCTCTCTGGGCCTGCTATAACAAAATAATTGCATTAGGTATTTTATAAACAACAGATATTTATTCTTCACAATTCTGAAGTTGGGAAGTCCACACACTAAAATTCAAGTCTGACAAGGGCTGTTTCCCACTAACAGTGCCTTATATAACCATGTCACATGTGACAGACACTGCCAAAGGCTTCCTAAAGTCTCTTTTATAAAAGATATTAATTCCATCCATGAGAACAGAGCTTCCCAAAGGCTCGACGTATTATATTTCAGATTATAGAGTCCAACAAAGGAATTCTGTAGTCACAAACATTCAGACAATATGCCTGACTCATGCTTTCCTGTCAACACATACAAATTTCTCTCTGATCAGTAAAAAAAAAAAAAACAGAAAGCACAAGAGTTTAGCATAGAAAACATGACGTGTCAAAATGACAGCTCTGAAAACCCATTTCTTTCTTTGCTTTGTTTCTTTAGAACGACATCTCAAGTTCAAGATTCCTTTATACAAAGAACTGAAAATAAAGTAACCACCCCCTTAGTCAGACAGGAGGACTGACATCTGTAACCCAGCACTGGGGAGGCTGAGGCATAAATTATTACCATGAGTTTGAAACCAGCCTAGACTATGCAGCATGTTCTAGGAAATTCTGAGCTACAGTGTGAGACTCTAAATACTGCTTTCACAGAAAGAAAAAGAAAAGTAGAAAAACTCAGAAAAAACAAAACCAATTCAAATGAAATGCCATTTCCCTATAATATATATATATGTGTGTGTGTGTGTGTGTGTGTGTGCGCGCATTGTTTGTAATTTATATAGGTGTATATGTGTGTACACACAAACACACACACACACACACACACACACACACACACACACACGGCTCAAGTGGTTAAAAGCACTTGCTGCTCTTACAGAGGACAGGTTCAGGTCCAGCACACATGTTGGCTTACAGCCACAATTAACTCCAGTCCAGGAATTCCAACACCCTTTTAACCTCCACACCGATTGCACACACATTAGTCAGGCACTCACACATAAAAGAAACCTTTTTTTTAAAGATAAATTTTTGACATAGACTTGAAAGTATCTATTTTGCTTGAAAGCTTTTCATTTGTTAGTGAATTTTGCTGGATATTTTATAGAGGATATCCTTGGGGAAACTGAGGTAATGCTGTTTTTACACATTTTCTTAAGTATTTAATGAACATTAGACCATCTAGACCAGACTGTACAACCAACGGAAATATAATGAAGCCACTTATACAACTTTAAAATGTTCCAGGCAGTAGCTATGTTTTGAAAATTTAAAAAGTTACTAATTTTTATAATTTATTATTTTATTTATTTGGGTTTCTTTTTTTATTTTGAGATAGGGTCCCACTCTATAGCCTTAATTGGCCTGGTACTTGTAGTAATCCTTCTGCCTTCCAAGTGCTAGGTTTACAAGCATGAACTACCACACAGAACTACTTTATCCAATATAAAGAAAGTCATTTCAAAAGAAAAAATGTCATTTTAACATATAGTCATTATCTTAAAATTAATGTCACATTACTTTTTTCAAAAACCTGGTATAGTTTACACTTACCAGCATGACTAAGGCATATCTCAAGTGCCCAGTAGCCATGGGGTTAGTGGCTAAAACATTCAATAGTACAGATCAAGTGTAGACACTTAAACTAAGGTATCAAAGATTCACAGTAATTTTATTTTAAAAACATAAACTATATTTAGTATAAAAATGCTTCTGTTTTATCACTGTAATATTGTTCCTTGAAGGAAATACTAAAAAAGTAAACCAAGTAAAAGGAAATAAACATGGTTGCTATACCAAAATTTTAAACATTACAAATAGATAGTTCAAACTTTAAAACAGTAATATTTCCCCTTTGAACTAAAATGCATCATCACACTTGAAACTTACCTCCTTAAATTCATCTCTGCAATGTCTTTGTATTTTTATTATGAAAAAGAAAAACATTTTAACACAAACTAAAAAAGCTGTCCTATTTTAACTTAAGCCTATCAATTATTAACTTTCTTCAAACAAATCTTTGATATTACACTGAGCCATTTCTTCACATTTTGGAGGGATTGCCATGTACACTTGCTTTTTTTAAAGAAATAGTTGTAATAAAACCATATAAAGGAAAATAATTTTCTATTGTCATGCTCCTTACATTTTCATTTTCCAAAAACACTGTCCCTATTTTCCATCTCATAAATCAGTTAAAGACACAGAGTAGCATCTCCATGTGGGGAAGGAATCATACAAGCTAAATAAGAATATCTACTGTGGTATATCACAGGCAGCAATTCTGTCAAGTACCTTCTACTTTTAGACTTGTAAAATACACTTCCTTACCAGATCAGACAAATGATAGATAGGGTAGAAAGGCAAAATCGGAGGAAGAAAGCTAAACCTTCAGGTATGACATTTTATTTCGGCTGTTGTTGTTTTTAAAAAATTAAATATATCTTTTGCTGGGCCTGGCATGGGCTTTGATAACTCAAAAACCACCCTCAGTGCACATCTAATCTTTTCCAAGACCATTCCACCAATTAGGGATCAAGCATTGAAATATAAGAGCCTGTAGGACATTCTTGTTCAAACTATCACAGGAGACTAATATCTGGTTTCCAAACCTATTACAAAGCTGTAATAAATAAGGCAATACAGTATAATCTTAAGACCAAAAAGTAACATATGAACAGAATGAAATTGAGTGCAGATACAGACTCAAACATCTATAAACAACTAATATTTAACTAAAGTATCTGGGTAATTATGATCAGGCAAAGAAAGGATCTAGGATTTAGTCTCAGCACTGGGGGAGACAGGCAGGGGGGTTCTGGGACTTGGAGGCCACCTTGATCCACATAGGGAGTTCCTTAACAGCCACAGAGCTACACAAAGGAAACCCTGTCTCAAAAAAAAAAAAAAAAAAAAAAAAAAAAAAAAAAAAAAAAAAACCATTAAACTGTACATTTTAAATATATGTGTATCACATGAGTTACACATCAAAACAAAGCTATTCAAAATTATCCTTGTCACCCTTAAAGCTGTAGTATTTACCTGCTTTGCCAGGCACTAAAGACTATTGTCCCTTACATCCTTTTGTGGATGATGGTTCAAAGAGTCCTAGAGTTCATTCTGTAGACCAAGCTGGCCTCACACTGAGAGACCTCTGTCTCTGCCTTCTTGAGTGCTGGAATTACAACCATGTACCCACACCTAGGTCCAGAGAGTTCAAAGTTTAACAACAGAGTAAACAGGCACAAAAAGATCCAGAGTCCTAGAAGAAGAAACAATTACTGTATCTCATACTCCTAATGAGAATTGGATACCTTGCTTTCTACAGGATTTCCCACTCTAAAAATACAAATCGGACATTCATACTAGACTGAATTCTTTTATATTTTAACCAAAGGTAAGTACTTAGAAAGTCTGAAATAAAAAAGTAGGGATGGGAGCATAGGTCACTGGGGGAGTGTCTAACTTAGCAAGGCCTGAGGGTTGAATCCCCCAATAAATAAAAAATGCTAGTTTGCCCTTAATAATTCATAAAATTCAAGGACGTAGAGACTGCCATACTAAGAGTGTTATTAGCTAAAGGTAAATCTTAGTCTTAGACTAACCTCCTCAAAGAAATGTTGGAAAGTGTCTGTTCAGTAATTCTGATAAACAAGGAGTCAAATATGCTCAGTAGAAATGAATATTTAAAATTGATGGTGGTTTGATTTATATGATAACCAACAAGAGAAAAGTCCAGCAATTTCACTCACCGATTTGTTCCTCCAGCTTAGCCAGGAGTTCTAAGTCGTCTGGACTCAACTTTGATGGGGAAGAAGGTGACAGTGCCGGTGTTGACAGTGTGGTAGATGAGGATGTAGTGTTGTAGGGAAGCAGACGGGGCTTGCCACCTGACTGGCCATCTGACTGACTGTATGCGAGACTGTGCTCTTCATCCATGAGAGAGTAGAACTCAGCTTTTCTGCAACCTTGTCTGTAGCCACCTAACAACAGAATAAAAAGTGTATTTTAGTTGTATTACAATCATTGCCAGAAACTCAGTGATTCTACAAAATTTTACTCAAAAACTCATTGAGGTGGTAAGGGTTAAACCTGTTTTTGCTACCATTATTCTACCACCCAGACTTTGAAACTTCCTTTCTTTACCTTTCTCCTTTCTTTTTAAGGATCCATTCATTTCATTTTCATGTGTTTACCTGCATATGTGTATATACACCACATATACACCCCTGATACCCACAGAAGCCAAGAATGTGTCAGCTCCCCTGAAACTGGACTTCCCATCCATGGCTGTGAGCTGCCATGCAAGTACTGGGAACCAAACTCGGGTTCTCCACAAGAACAGTAACTGCTTTGTATACCAGGCTACCCTCAAGCTGACAGACATCAGCCTGCCTCCGACTCCCCAAATGCTGGGATTAAAGGTGTGTGGCACCACAGCCTGCTACAACGCTTCTTACGAAGAGCTTCTGGGCTGGCAAAAATAGCTCAGCAAGTAAACACAATGCACTTGCCATGTAAGCCTAGCACCTGAGTTTGAGCTTCAGAATTCACATAAAAGGTGAAAGTGAGCAGAACAAACTCCCACAGTTGTCCTTTTGTCCTCCACACATGACTATGTGTGAAATACACATACACAGTAATTTTTTTTAAAGTCTTGATTGTGACATAGGTAGCCATAAAGATTACAAGCCAAGCAGTACTTGTCTGATCTTTGAGAAAACCTCATCTTATATGACAGGGAAAAGCAAAAGCACTGTAAACCATCTTCTGAATTAATATAATATCAACCACCTTAAAGTCTATTAATTCCATTAATTCATTCACAGATACTAAAACACAAATGCATGCACAAAACCATGCTTGACTTAATGACAGTAGATAGTACTCTTTATTACAGATTGTCCAAAGCTATGAAATGGTAGTCTCTCCCCACAACCTATACTTCAACCTAGTATTAAAACTCTGTGCAGGGAAAGGGTAATATGGAAAAGAAATTCTAAGCCATATTAAGCCATTCAACATAGCAGTGAAGCATCCTAATACAGACTCAGTTTCAAGTACTGATGGGGCAGGAATCTACCTCTTACTTTTGCTTAGCTTTCAGTACCCCCTCCCTACTAGAATTTCTTTCCTTCTGAAATAGGTATTACAGAAGAGGGCTATCTGGCCACAGATACTGAGGAGAAAGACCACAAGAAAAACAAGCAGGATAAAGAATGGAACCCAAAGCAAAGAAGTATGGGGCAGATAATTTATTCAGCTTGCTTCCTTCCAGATATCTCACCCTCACCTCCAAACAACTGCTGCCAAACGTTCACTTAGAGGAATCAAGAATACTATAAGCCAGCCAGGCGGTGGTGGCACACACCTTTAATCCCAGTTTGAGGCCAGCCTGGTCCACAGAGTGAGATCCAGAACAGCCAGGGCTACACAGAGAAAGCCAGTCTTGAAAAAAGAAACAAACAAAAATCTAAAGCCAAGTATAGAAACCTAATGAAGACAAGATAGTGACTTTACACTATTGACTCCATCTACAAAGAAAAATCTACAAGTTTAAGTGTGCAAATGACATTAATTTGCATTCTGGACACACAGAATAATACCTAAAATCAGAAAACTTAACATATGGTCGGAGAAGCTCCAGAGATCCCTAAACCACAGACTTTGCTGTGAAGACACCACACATGTGGGCAGCAGGACAGAGAAATAAAGGTGGACAGGAACTAGAAGCATCTTCCTGTACTGGCTCACGTGCACAGAGTTGCTCAAGCCCTGCCCTCCAGGCGTCATCTGACAGTTGCTCCAGGCCTGCCCACCACACAAACCTGAGGACCTGAGTTCAAGCCCAAGATTCCAACCTCAGCAACATGAAACGCTGTCTCAAAAATAAATAAATAAAATTCTAAAATGGCTTTTAGTTCTGATCTTTTACATCTTTGTAACTCAAATTCACAATGTGCCTAACCCTTTTCTTTCACCTGCTCTAGGCTTCACTGGAGCTTTCCCTCCATTCTCATTCTCTGAGCTAGAAGCCCCTAAAACCAGCGACTTCACCCTTCCTTTCTGACGGGCATGGTTTCTAACTTAACTCTATTGTGGCCTGACAGCACAAGTTAAAGACCATTTCAGGTGGTCTGGTCTTGGGTTTACCCCCACAAGCTCAGAACAGTATGTTCTGCACTCATCAAGTTAACCCAGTGCTAACTGCTCAGTGATGGGCACACTGAAAGGGGACTGAACTCTACAATTCCTAGAGTGGATCCGCTTTCACACTCAAGTTCCAGGTTTTGCTTGTTGGTTAGCTCTGTGCTAAGGCAGGGTCATATGTGGGTTCACTAGCTTGCTTTGCCCGATGAGTGTAGTGTCTTTTTTGACAATGACTGTAATGTCTTTTTGAAGAAATGGCTATATTTTGTTAGTGCAAGGACTGTCTTTCTTCCTAGTATCTTCATCAACTCTGCTTTATCTAAAATTAAGATAGCTACTTCAATTTTCTTTTGATTATTCAACAAAAGTCCAAAAGGCAAAGAATTATGTAAAGCTTGGTGGGGCTTATTTGTAATGCCAGCACTCTGGAAGTTGGAGGCGAGGTGGATCCCAAATTGAAGGCCAGTTATATAATGAGATCTCAGCACCTCAAAAGAAAAAAAAAATCCGCAGAGACAAGAGTGAGTTCAAGACCAACCTAAACTGCAGTACCAGGACAGTCAAGGCTACACAAAGAAACCCTATGTTAGCAAGAAACCAAAAAATAAAAAGAAAAATAATTAAAAAAGGAAAAAAGAAGAAATACAACTTTGTATATAAAAGGATGGGCTCCCCTTCTGAACAAGAGTTTTTTCCAACTATTTTACTGAGTTAAAAGTCCTACCAACACAATGAAGTTTTAAATGTTTTTTATTTTAAGTATAGGTGTTAGTATTCAGGTGTCTGTACTGGCCCGTCCTTGAGGTTCTGACAGGATCTGTGCCTATTCAATATGTTCCCCTTTGAAGGGGCCCCTGTCCCTCCCCTCCCATCCTCCCTCCCCTCTCTCTGTGTCTCTCACCCCCCCTTTCCCCCCTTTCCTCTCTCCTGCTGATGCTTGTCTCCCTCCCCTCCCTTTTCCCTTTTCCCTTTTTATGATCCCTTTTCCTAATAAAAAAAAAAAACTCCTCTGCTTGAATGGCCTACACACACACACACACACACACACACACACACACAGATCCACCTGCCTCTGCCTCCCAAGTGCTGGAACTAAAGGCATCCACCACCACTGACCAGAATAATTAATTCTTGATTAAAAGTGGAAAATTAATTCACATCCATTAAAAGAATGAAACACAAATACGTTCTAGAACATGAATTATCCTAAAATCAGTATAGTATAATGAAACAGTTGAATCAAGAACTGCATAGTATGACTCCATTTGCATGAAACTGCTCCAGATTATTATTTTAATGGGTGTGGTATTTATGCTGCCATTTGTTTAACTGTGATTCGATCAATGTCTTTGCTTTAGACAACAATGGCCTAATAAAGAGCTGAATAGCTAATATTGAGGCAGGAAAAAAGGATGGAGTTTGGGAATGGTAGACAGAGAGAATAAATAGGAAAATCTGGGAGAAAAAGATAGAAGAAGGGAGGACATCAGGGGCCAGCCAACCACCCAGCCATGGAGTAATAGTGGAAAGTAAGATACAACAGAAATTTAAAAAAAAAAAGGCCCCAAGTAGTAGAGTAATTTAAACTAAGGAAGCTGAAAGAAACAAGCCAAGCTAAGGCCAGGCATGAATGGGCTCCATATGTATTTATTTGGGTGCTGGTGGTAAAGAGGGGGAAGAGTAAACAAACAACATGAACTGTCCAGAACAAACAATCCATAGAAAGCAGACTGTTGAGGGAGAGGGGATAGGAGCAGGAGACAAGCAGCAACACCCAAAGATTAGAGTGGTGTCTCAATGAGGTAAAAAGAACTTTTTTTAAATTGGCACAATAGTTGCATGTATTTCCAAACATGCTAAAGGCCACTGAATCATACTTAGGTCAATGGTTCTCAACCTGTGGATCACAACCCCTCAGCAGCTGAACAACCCTTTCACAGGGATCACATAAAACCATCAGAAAACACATATATCCACATTTACAATTAACAATAGTGATTAGTTACAAAGTAGCAATGATTGGGGTCATTACAACATAAGGAACTGTACTAAAGGGCTACAGCATTAGGAAGGCTGAAAAACACTGCTTAGAGTGAATGATCAAGGAGGAGTAAACTATTGTCATGTGAGACTTTTCCTGAGACGAAACAAACTTCTATTCACCTCAATCAGGAACTCACCACAGAATCAAATATCACCGAAATCCAACGGGGTGAACCAGTGAGTTCATTAGGATTACTTACAGGAATAAGGATGAGGAGGCAGGGGTAGGGACAACTCAAAGGCAGCTTCATCACCAAAAAAGAGGAACCCTTGAGATCATTGCACTGCTTGCAGAGAACAGCAGGATAGTCTGTTCTCAGCTGTTCTTACTGTTTGTATCCTTGAGGGAAAGGGATAGACACAGACCATTTGACTCTGGTCAGTTTCAGGGATGTCCTAAGACTCTATGAGCTGCCTGTAGTTCTACATTTAAGGCTAAGGCCCCGAAGATTTCCCTCTTTCATCTACTGGTATCATTCTCGTTGAGATCTTTAGGGCAGCCATGCTAAGAGACTTCATAGGTGCAGCTACTGTGACATTGCTAGGAAATGAAATTCAACACCAAATTCCCTGTTCCTCTGGCTTTACAATAATTTTTGCTCTCTTCCACTATGATCCTGAGCCTTAGGCACAAGAGTTGTGTTCTAGCAGTGGAGGCTGGGCACTAACTACAAAGAGGTAAACCCTAAAATCATATGATAAGGTAACTATACAGATGACTGAGCAGGTTGTACTGATATATTTGGGAATATGTAACACAGAGAGAAAGAGAGACTAAAAAACAAA